GCAGGATTTTCTGCTACCGTGTAAAAGTCATTGTTCAATAAATTTTAACAAATCTTCAAACCACCCTGTTTCCACCATCAAGTTTTTTTTTAATGCTGTGTTAGTTTTACTCCAAAAGCTTGTAATTCTGTCTCGTCTGTATTTTCTAGCAAATGTCTTTTTGGACAGCAGTGTTTGTTTTACGTAGCCCTCATATTTAGGTGCTTCCTTTAGTCTAATAGAACGACATTCATTCAATTTAAATGTGGGGACTAAAAATGAAATTGAAAAAATAAATGTGGTTAATCACAGTTAACTCATGGTAAAACAAAGGGGGCCAAAACTACTTCATGTAGGGCAGAAATACACCACACATGGAAGAGTCCCATCATTTTAGCTTTTATAATAACGGATCACCCCTGAGGTCCAGCTGTGAAAATAACTGAAAGACATTTTAAATCAAATAACCATCAAATATGTTCAAACCAGGGGAGTTTTAACAAGCTGGAATTGAAAAATAGCAGGGTAGCTTCATCACATCCCAACACAATGGGTTACTAAATTAACAGTTTACTCATGCTGACTGCTGAATCCAGGCTGAAAAGAACTATTGAATTTATCTATGCAGCTGACGCCAAACCAAGACTGCAACGGTCCTTCTGCAAGAGTGATGTTATGGCTTTTATCTGAAACAAAGTTGGACATAAATTTTGTTATTAAAAATGGCTGTATAGATTACAAGAGAGCCAGACATTAAATGTTTGCATATGGAAAACGAGGTTTGCATTTATCAAATTCTTTATTTAAGCTCCTTAAGCCATGACCAAGCACTTATTTTTGTAATTATTAACAGTCAAGATGCCTAATTACTTTATTATCAGTAATATCCGTTCAGGCATAATCGCTGTGTTCTGAAGCAAATGCTTTTTACCACAGTTTGGTTTGCATTGGCTGACATCCAAGACACATACAGATGGCCTCCGTTGCTGCCATTTTGAAATAGCTGTTTGAAAAATCTGTTGAAAAACACAAGCTTTCTCTATTCAGTTATACATCCAACAGCAATCAGCCAACGTGTTACATCAAGTGTCTCTCTCAAGGTCTGGGGACCACATGCGGCCTGCTGTAACTATTTACGTGTACCTCTAAACTCTAGAGAGCCACATAAATGGAGCTTTCAAGACAACAGTTGTGTGCTTAAATATTATGTTAATCATTCAGATTAAAGCTGTTTTTATCGTCAGTGTGGAAAGAATGCAGAGGCAGCCACTTATCCAAATTTTAACAGTTTTCTAATGGGTAGTTCTGACAAAACATTCTGCCACAGCCAACCCATAGAGGAAATTCATGCTGCTGATTTGGCCCAAAATAAAAATGAGTTTCACACTCTGTGTTAAATGAACTCTGAACTGATATAAAAGAGTGAGAAACAATAAAATGAAATCAGAACTTTATGCAAATGTGATACTTTGGGTAGTTTTAATTTACAGGTGGAAAATATGCTAATAATCAAATCACCAATTGTTGATAAAAATCACATTAAAATGCTTCAATGTGATGTTATGTAACTTTTATGCCATTCTTCTGCAAGGTGTTTGTTAATATGCTGGTGTTCAGATGGGTAAAAAAAAATATATGTACAATTTTAAAAAGATTGCTTAGACTGAAAATCAGTAGTGCCCTTTATTTAGTGAACACCGGCTCATCTTTATTCTTAATGGTAACAATTGTCCAAGATAACATCATCTATTGAATGAATTTCCTAACAGTCAACAATAAACTAACATTTAAACTGTGGTGAATTATTTGCATCTCTGGGTTCTAGAAACATAAAATAACAATATTTATCTCTGCAAGCTTGCAGGGTTATTTAAAAATCTATTTTTGATACTGATGCGCTACGCTCTTGGCCCGCTGGAATAAATTCTCCCTGTTAAAACTGAAAATTTAATCCAATCCAAAATGTGAATCCAATCCAGTTTTGCTGAGGAGAGCGTGCGTAAGCAAAACAGTCGATCAAAAGCAGATTGATTTGACAACTTGTCATGTGTGTCTTCTTTATGAAAAAAGCCCCACTGGGTAGGATGAATTATTTGTTTCTTTCATTGTGCAATAAATCTTGTAAATTAACCAGAGTGCCAATGGATGTCATCTCTGATTAGTGTCAATTGGCCCTCTAATGAAGATGCTCAACCTGTAGGCGTGTTGAAGCTCTGACTCTTTGATGAGGTTACAAACAGCATGGATATTTCACTCAGGAGAATTTAGACTTGATTAAACATAAAACATGAGAATGATGGGTTTCTGTGTGCAAATGCTTTAAAAGCCAGAAATTAATCAAGACTTAAACAACAATAAAAGATTTTTTAAAAAGCTCCTTAAAAGTGTCCCAAAGAAAATTTTTTGGAAATTTTAGAAAATGATGTGTTGAATTGGTGATGATTGACTCTGCTGGGGTATTTTGGACATCATCACACAATGGTCAGCACAGCAAAGCCACACAGGCATCCCACTGATGAACAGATGGGCAGCAGGAGAAGAATGCAGAGGAGGTGATCCAGAATGTGCACATACCATGATGGTGAGTCAGTGATAAAGAACAGCAGATGAATGGATTTCTAAAACTCCTCCAACAAACTGCGAAAGCGGCTGTCTGCCTCTCCCTCGTCGTCTGTCGCTCTTATTTCCACTGCTGGATGCCTGTGAATTTCGACGCTGACGTATGTGCTGGATTTTTGCACAGTGTGAAAGGAAAAGGGAAGAGATGCCGACGAGGAGAATAATTTATCCTGAACCGTTCCTATAATGTCACTCTAACTCACAGCAGCATGGAAAAGAAATCATAAAAGATGGAGGAAGTGACAGTAAATATATCTTGGATGATTTTTCTGGGTCTAAAGGGGGCATTATCAGGTCTGGAACAGAACACAAACCTGGTAAATGTCTGTCTTCAAAAGAAAGTTGCATTTTGAACTCTGTTGAATCTTCTGCAAGTCTCAATTCAGAACAGTCTGTGAATCACTGATTGTTCTTTTGAAAATTGGATCTCGGACACAGCAGAACAAGTTTATTCATGACCTCAGTCCACACTCTGCCAACTAAAACACAACATGAACTTTTGATTCTGAGCTGTATATGTTTGGTGCACAGCTTTAGACAGGGAGTCCAGAGAAATACAGGCCAACAAAAGGTCATGTCTGCAAATAAGCAAATCATGCCTAGTGGGAAATTATAAAAGGCTTTTGATGGCTGTAAATTCTCCTTTTCAAATACAGGGTCAGAAGTCCATGTAGACAGGACACTTACAAAATACGGATGTAATCTTTAAATAGAGTTCATCTGCTAAGTTATTCAGTACAAAATGTAAGTCATGAACTTATAATGAGTTGCAAAACTATTTATGCCATTTGCAGTTCAACACATTTAAAATAACATTACCATCAACAAGATTTAATGTAATAGGCCAATAAGAAGTGCAACATGGAAGGATAACAAAAGGTATTTACATTCATTTTTACGTAGCCCCATCAAAATCTATCGTACTCTATCCCCCTTTATTCATTATGTATGACATCTGAAGCTAGCTAGCTTCAAATGTCACCCATTTAGAAACTGGAGTTCACCTGTGCATTATGCACCATCAGTAATAATGCATCAGTTTTAAGAAGGCTTCATGGGATGTTTACAGAATACTAATGGACAAATAGCATGAAGACCTGGAAACACACCATGTCAGACATAAAGTTGTGCAGGTATTTAAAACAGGGTCAGGTTATAATCACTATCCTAAGGAAGAATCTGCTGAAAGGACAATAAACTCTACAAATCAAGGCATTATGGAAAAGTCATAGGAAGCCAAGTATGAAGTTTGTCACAGGAGTGTAGTGGGTGGTCTGATCAAACGAGTCCAAATCTGAGAATTTTTGCTCTACATACAAAGTAGCATGTGAACACACCAGCACCACAATGAAACCTGATTTTGGCAGCATTATGCTTGAGAGATGTTTTCAAAGAGTGAAGAGAGAAGGTGGACAGAGTCCATTGGAAGATAGATGAAGCTGAAAAAGAAAGAAATTGTGAAAAAAAAAAGATCAGTTCACAGCTATAAAAGAATGACGCTGCAGCTGTTAAGATGGTCCAGTCAAAGACCAGATGGAAAACCCATTGGGTATATGTGGTAGTGCTTTTAACCATTGACTTAGATTAGATTAGATTGCTTTGTCTCGTTTCATTTAGATGCACCTGGAGGCAGAATTAAAGGTTTTTGATTGTAGATTATTATGCAATTCCAGAGTTGAGAACATTTTCTCACAACTTCTGGACATGCCTGCAGAGAGGGATGATTTCTTTAAGACATTTTGTTTCACAGTGTAAGAGCTGCAAAATGTAAATAGCAATTAATGCATTCTCAGACAGATCGCGAACTGAGGCATCATCAGGCATCTTGCAAGTAAAAGCAATGCAAAAATGGGAAAACACATTTGACAGCAAAAGAAGAAAAAAAGAACCTGAGTTAGATCCACAGGCTCCTTATCACTCATCTGAGGAGCAGGAGAAAGCCAAAAGAAGTGGGAATAAAAAATAAAAAAGTGGAGGGGAGGGGGATCTCAGAGGGGGCTCAAGCTTAAGAGGGGGTTCATTGTACAGTCAACATCCCCATCTTCCCCCCACGAAACGTCATTCCTCATAAGCCTTTCAGCAAAGGTGATTCATCTGTTGAGTGTGATCAGAGAAGCCTTCTCTGAGGCAACACACACACTTGAATATTTATTCACACTGGAAGGCTGTTTTTTTTAAGTCCCAACATTTATTCTTGGATTAGTCACAAGAAGCCCATACAAGACAGTGTCCATGTCATTACTCGCACGTTTCACTCATTTAAGGTGATCCTGTTTATAAAAGCTAACCAGGGCAGCACTCTCCCTGACATGAAGCCACCACACAATTGTGTAACTCAGTAATGTTTGACTGCAATACCTCTGCCGAACCCTCCTGATGAAGAAAGAAGGGAAGTCTCTTACCTTTCAGTCCTCTTGGTTGAAGTGAGCTGAAAGTAGAGCAGAAAGAAGTTCTGCGATCTGTGCTCCTTTCCCGCTTGGTTTCCCCTCTTCCTCCTGCGTCTTTGCCAGCCAGTTCCAGTCAGCAGCTCTGGACTCCCCCGCTGTTTGAATGTTGCATCGTGAACCCCCACAAATTACGATAGGGAAAACAACAGAAAGAGAGGTGGGAAGTGGGAAGAGAATTGCTATTTTTCTTCTCTCTTTCTCCACAATCTGCTATCTGGAAGTGTCTCTCCGGATTAGATGTTTGAGAACATCTTCTGATTCTCCTCCAACTCTGCCGCTCAGACGCTGTCCACCAGCGAGTGGTGCTGAATGAGACTCCGGGGCATGACTGCGGTGGTTTCCTACTTTTCTTCCTCTCCAGCTTCTTCTGTTTGACTGCACAGATCTTCCCTCCCTCCGCGCAACTGTGGCTCTACTTCCCTTACGAACTACAGACTTTGCAGGACGCTGACACCAATGTAAATGTACAGTGAAAAAAACAATACCAAAATGTAAAACTGACTGAATGAGTTACGTTGAAATCAGTTGGGTTTCAAATCCGGATCAATAAGTACTAGTCTAATGAATTTTTGAGTGGGCTTAAACAAAAAGAGATGGGTCGAGGGAGGAGGGGCTGCCTGGCTGTAAAACTGGTTTTACGCAAATGAAAAGTCGTTCCAAGCTTGGTCATAAAGCCAGGGGATAAAGACGCACACAGGTCTTGCAGAATGTACACATCCCATGAGATCTTGCTCAGATCAGAGAGTGCAGTTGGTGGGATTTAGGCGTAAAATAAATCCGCCCCGCGCCGTCTTAGCTGGATTTCAGCTGCTGTTGCGTGTGCGGTGCGCAAATGGATTTTACATACAGAGGCGCTGCTCAAAGAAAACACATCAGTAACCCATCTTCGCCTTCCGATCTTCTCGATCGTTGTGTATTCACTCGCTCTTTTATCATTTCAGTTCCATTACCCGAGATTTAGAGACCCAATGGGCTCGATGGATCCCACAGAGATGGGCTCCTCCTCAAGTTCGACGAGTTGAGGCTTCATCGCACACTACAACACACAAGTACTGAAATTTATTCTTAAGGCGCCGACTAGCGCATCTTGAGCTCCAGTGCCACCTTTCCGCGATGCTTTACGTCTGAATAATTGAGGCTGTTTTTTTGCTTTGGTTTTTTTCTTCGGTACTTGAACCCCATCAAGATGCTGCACAGACGCCTCGCTCCCTTTTATGTTCTGCTCGCCGATTAGGATCCTCCCGCGAGCCATTCCCACTTGTTTGACTGGAATCGCTTTCCTTTACATGTTTATCATTACTGCGCTGATTGCGCTTATTGATTCATCAGTCTAATCAGTCGCACCGGTGGCTCTCCCAGTAATGAACCGAGCAGAACCAGCTGCTTTCATTTCAAGCTGCACTTTAAAATGAGCTCTCCGATGTGGCCCCCAGGACATCCTCAACAACAAGCACAGCACCACAAAGTCCCCCCAGATAAAATGTGTGTCACAGGAGAATTTTGTGGGTTTTGCCAATTGATGCATTTGCTTTTTGTTTAACTTTTATTTATTTATGTTTGAACTTAGCTTGTGAGCTTTTTGGGAAAATATTTAAATAATTGTATTTTTTTGTTCAAGATTTAATTTTGTAGTGCAGATTCACAAATGTTATCTCAAAGCAATCTTTATAAGCCAAATAGATGCAATTTCTATCCAGATAAAGTAATATTACATTTCTAGCTCTAAAACAAAGAAGTCAGTGTGAATTATTTTACAGTCTAAAGATTTTGAAAAGACTCGTGAAACAAAAGAAATCAATAGATGTAGTAGTTTTAGTATTTCTGGAAGACAAAAAGACAGTTGATTCCATGCTGAAGTGAATCTGGGGGATCCTTCAGGGCTCTTGTGTGTTTGTGTGTCTGTCCCACTATCCCAGAACCATTTGAGCCTTCTACAGACTGGTGCATCTGACTAACCAGTACGACTTGTACTCTTCATCTTTAAAATGTTGTCAGATTAAATAGTTTTCTGTCAAAAAAAGGACAAATGACATATGTACATTAATTTAAGGAGGGTGTATTACTGCAACTATCTCCTTAAAAAGAAAAAATAAACACTCCAGGAGAACTTAAAAATGCATACCTGCACACACGCACACACTCAAAATACAGATTATGCTATTAGTCTGGAAAAAACAAAACAAAATAATATTTAGCCAAAATACATTTCAGAGTTGCTTGTCAAGTATGAGCCATATGGGCCCCTCAGGTGCTTAGACACTTGTTTACTCAATGATCTCAGAACTGAAGTTGAGGCAGCATCCAACCTCTATGATCCTCAGTTCAGGAGCCAACTCTCTAAAAACATAAGTTATTTGATTAAAGAGGCTGACTAATGAAGTTTGTAAGTCTTTAATATTTCCATTTTAACATCTTTCTTTCATGCAAAGCTTCTAGTCTAAGTTTTTTCTGTCTTTCCTTGAATATCTTGTGTGAATGGTGCCAAAAAACCTTCCCAATACAAATTTTCATGTCTGACTTGATGAGCTCGGCGGTCCAAAAGATCATCTTTTCCCCCGGGAGAAGACCCTCTCAAGAGTTTCTGTATATGCAGGTCAGACAGTAGTAAATATACATGACATGATCACAGAATCCATTTGTCAAATCAACTAAAGTCCACTGAATGCATCAAACCACACAAACTCTTGTCAAGCAGCTCATACCAATTTTTGGTATAAGCTCAAATTTATTTTTTTTTTTTTTATTTCTTCAAAGTAATATTCTTTGACTTTAACACAAGCTTTAACAAACAAACCCTGATACTAAGACAGATTGGTTGACTGTGTCTTGACTTAATTGTTAGAAGTCTAGGCATACCGAATGTAAAATCATCCATCATCCATCCATTTTCTAACACTCTTATCCCTAGTGGGGTGGAAGGTGCTGGTGCCTACATCCAGCTAATGTTCCGGGCGAGAGGCGGGGTGCACCTCGGACAGGTTGCCAATCTGTTGCAGGACAACACAGAACAAACAACCATGCACACACACAGAGAGACCAATTAACCTGACAGTCATGTTTTCGGACTGTGGGAGGAAGCCGGCCCAGAAAGAACCCACGCATGCACATAGAGAACATTCCAACTCTGTGCAGAAAGACCCGGGGTCAGGAATCAAACCCAAGACCTTCTTGCAGCAAGGCAAGTGGCTACCGACTGCGCCACTGTACATCTCATGTGAAATAATTTTTTGTAAAATAGTTTTGTTATGTGCATCTCTATATCTTTCTGTTTGTTTTGTCTCCACTATAAGCAAAATCATAAAAGCATATAAAGCAGATCATAAAAGAGAAACAAGAGAGTGGAAAATGTCTGTGCTATAAGATTTTACTATGGCAATTTTTCAGTGTTGCACAGTGTCATCAGATGTGCAATGACCCACTGGTAAAAGCTCACAGATGCAGGCATAAACTCACTGCTTATAGAATGCCAAAGGAAAACTTCAATTAGTTTTTGTGGGCTGTTGTTTGTTCTGGTTATGCATATTTTTGTCTCACATTGTTACCAGAACATGTATAAACTAAAGGAATATTTCTCTGGAAGCAGTTTTTCTTTGAGAAATCACAAATGTGAGAGTGAGACATATTACCTGCAGGACAGACTAGTGATTACAAGAGGTTTTATATATTAGGAAATGTAAACCTGGCATAACGCTCCAAAGTCTTAATTATTGAACTGATGAGGGCCATGTCAGAATTAATAAATAATCTCTGTTGTAATAAAAGTCTTCTCTATTTTCACGATGGCCAGTCTCATGAGCTCAGGGGTCCATGAATTATTCTGCTCATTCCTAACCGTGATCCATCTCAATTGGGTGGGCAGCAGGATTGGATTAGCTCTCCCACTGTCTGTGGTGACAGAGTGGGAACAAGAGAGTTAAGTCTCTGCAAAGAAAAGAAGCGCTGCAGCTTAAAATAAAAAGAAGTAAAGAAATAAAACAAACTGGGTGTGCTCGGTATAAAACAGGTAATTACTGGGAGGGTTAATGTTGCTCACAGTGGGTAGTAACCCTGCTGTTCTGTGTAAAAACGTCAGCATTCTTCTTCTCCAAGTGTGTTTAAAGGGCTTCTCATAAAAACACAACGAGCTACAATTCAGCAGAGCATAATTATACTTTCTTCAAAGAATGTGTGAGGTTTTGGAAAATATTAAGTGACTTAGATTTTTTTAATGATCTTCAAATATTTGCATGTTTAAAAGGACAAAAAATGCTAATGGTTGAAACTAGATGTTTTTTTCAGTAACTCATCTCACAAGTAAAACAGATTATATAGAGTATTGCACGCAGACTGATGTTTTAAAGCTTTTATTTCTGTTAAGGATGATGATTTCTTGCTTATAGCTAATAAAAACATAATATATTAAGATTAGAAAATAACATCAGACCGATTTGGAAGCATTCTGACCGCAGAAATGTGGGCCTGATGAAAATCATCTTTAATACTTGCTAAAGTTTGTTGTTTTCAAAATGTACCTTTAATCTGATAAATTAGTTTCAATGGAACCCATATTCTAATTGACTAAATATGGCTGTATAAAGTAGCAAAAAAATGTGATTGTTAGAGTTACAACACCAATTACTTTCCCTTTTAATTTAATTGACTTAAGCAATAACAAACAACCACTGCGCTAGATAGCTAATAAAAAGATGTCTCAAAAGACTTGCAGCTGTAATTGCAGTGTAAATGTGGTTCTGCGAAATATTGATTGAACAAAAATACAACAAATGCAAATGATTATAAAATTTTACTTGGTAAACATGGGGAAGCATTAGGGCTCCAAAGAACAAGATATTTTTCTTGAAATCCCTCCGTAAACAAAACCCATGCAGCAGAGAGAAAAGTATATACAGTAGCTAAGTTGCTATTTTATTTTATTTTAGGGTGATGTCCTTTCATTTTGGATGACATGCCACTGCTGTTGACTGTCCTGTTTCATATTTTCAGAGTACTTAACTTGACAGTTTTATAAAAAAATTACAAAATAATTACAAATGTAATGTACAGTGACAGGCTACATCCCAGGTGGCAGATGTTTATAACTGGTATGACTGAGTCTTAATGTTATTTGTTGTGCATTATTTTGAAAATTAGTCATTTTATCATAAATGACTGTTAAAATGATGGGGGGAAAAAATGAATAACATGTCCTACTCTAGATGACGTTGAATTTATTTTTGTCGTTTGTGCTCAGTGATGAACACAAGCCTGAGAAAGCAGCAATTTCCTTCAGTGAATGTCTGTACTTCTTTTTCTGTGACACAATAGAACAGATGTGCTAAATGGAGTTTGATCACATAAACACATGCCAAAATCACTCATTAAATGCACAACACTCTTCCAAATGTAATGACACATGATCTGAAG